GAACATTTCTGTAGATTAGGAATTTCAATATGAGAAATAAGAGCTAATAAATTGATGTGATACATGAATTGCAATTAAAAAAAAAAAAAAAAACCTTCATGTTTTATTTTGTTCCAATTTTCTAATATAAAAATTACAAAATAGTAATAACAAAATGTTGTATTACCAGTATTAAATACTTATCTATATTTTTTTTTTATAGTACATAAGTAATATATTCTTCAGGAACTACTTTGTCATCTAAACACATAAATAAACCAAACATTTTATTATAAACAAAATTATAATACAGGGAAATTTCTTTTAAAAAAATAAAGTTTTACATAAGACAACACTTAGCTGGTGTGTTTTTAGAGCTAGAAAAATAATGAGCATGCATAAGAAAGAAGTTAAAATGAAAAAAAAAAAGTTGAATGTTTTGAAGGTTATCTTGGATTATAAATAATCAAGATTTTCATAATTGGTAATTGGTTGACTGTCGTGGATAATGAAGAGAAGAATAGTTGGGGTGGTCAGTCAAAAAGGAAGGCAAAAAATAAATTATAATATTTATTTTTTACATATGCCGACGTTTCGACCTGAAGTTCAGGCCTTCATCAGGGCTAAGAAAATAACCAGATAACAAGGTATGAGAAACATAAGTAATGATGGTAAAAAAGATTAAAAAAAAAAAAAATATATAAGAAAAATAAAATAGATAGATATAAAGTAAAATGAAATTGTTAGAATAATGACTAAGAACTAAGAGATAAATAATAAAAACTGGCACATAGTGTGGAATGATGAAGTAGGAATAATCAAAAAAGGGGTGACAAAAGTGTTACATTGGGAATCTTAGAATAAAATGTAAAAACATAAAAAGAAATATAAAGTTATATAAGAAATGAAAATAAAATAAATAGTAAAATTAAAAACATTGAGAATGGAGTAGTTAGATAGAAAATTGAGATATTGTAAAGTCTATCAAGATGTACAGACAATGTATAATATAATAAAGAGTTAACAACAGAGAAAAGGAATGAAAGGAAGGAGGGAAGAAATTGAGAAAGCTGAAATAAGAAAGAAATAAAAGAAGTACTACCTTTCTCCTTAAGTGTCAAGGGGAGAATAAAGTCGTTACAAGGGAGGGGGAGAGAGAAGGGATGTGGAGGTGGCGTCATCTCTAACGGTTATCGGACGAAGTTTGAACTAAACGCTAGAAGCCTAAATAGGTACGAGAGATATATTATTAGAAAAATTATGGAATATTGAACGAAAGTTAATAGAAAGTGAAAGAAAAATTCAAAAGAAAAATAAGTATGAGAAATAAGGAAGAAAAATTGAAATACAAATTTATCATATATATTTTCATATCATATATCATTCATAAAATATATCATATATATTTTTATTTCAATTTTTCTTCCTTATTACTCAATAGTTATTTTTCTTTTGAATTTTTCTTTCACTTTCTATTAACTTTCGTTCAATATTCCATAATTTTTCTAATAATATATCTCTCGTACCTATTTAGACTTCTAGCGTTTAGTTCAATTCTTAGCCCTGATGAAGGCCTGAACTTCAGGTCGAAACGTCGGCATATGTAAAAAATAAATATTATAATTTATTTTTTGCCTTCCTTTTTTGACTGAGCACCCCAACTATTCTTCTCTTCATAATCAAGATTTTCAGTCATTATATGTTTATTATGGTTTCTGATGTTTTAACCCAAGGCTGTGGTTTCTGAATCATTGCCAACACAAGAACTCAAACTTTTGTTTTCAAAGATGGAAAATCTTAATTATTTATCATAAAAAATAAATAAATAAAATAGGGAAATGTATGAAATAGTCATTTCTTCCAATGTAATTAATTCTTAAGCCCTGTTTTAATTTAATTATAATCTCCTGGATTAAATTCTTTTTCAATTATTTCACATAGTAGTAAAAATGTTTTAATGAATAATTCCAAAAACATAATGACAAATATTAGCATTTTGAAATTTACATCTATTATTGTGTTTGATTTAATTTATAGATAACAAACTAGAATACACTTGGCATTTTATTACTTCCAGTTGGATAACTATTATTAAAAATGTACACTCTGAACACTTGTTCAGTTTTGTATTATCGAGCTCCAGACACAAGATCTAACACAGTCTAAAACTAACAATGCCCTATTCTCTGTTACAGCAAGTCAATATAGCATACCAATCTTCACATCATTTTGTGGAATAAGTGTATTAAACTTTGGATTATTAGGCTGTGGTCTTATAATAATTATTATAAGACCACAGGCTAAACCAGCAGACCCTGACCTAATTTACATCCATAGATGTAGGGAAAATCCCAAGATCCATTGGAACCTTTTACTGCTTAGTGAGACCACTCTTGTAGAAGTAATAATAAGCACATCAAAAGGTTTATATAAGATTACATTTACTTACAGTTCTTATAATTCATTACATTCAACCAAATATAGTCAACTATTGACTTATAACTTCTTAACTTACCACTATTCTGACTTAAGATGAATAAAATTATTTTAAATATTTTTTTTTTTATTAATCACAATATAATTCAAACAATTTCCTCAACTAATGTCCAATCAGTTAGCAATTGTGTGTATTTGAAGACATACAAGGTGACAATTGCACTTACTCATTGCTTTAATTTGAAGTTTTACTATGTTTGCATAAGATTTATCTGTGACTGCAATAGCATTGAAAGTGATAAAAATAAGAGAACATGAATAGACCTACAGATAAAAAGTAAAGTAATGAAACATCACAAGCAGGACAGTGTCAAACTTATTACAAGTATTTAGATTATTCTATTCAACTATTTCAACAATGAGTTCTTAGAGCAATAAAAAAAATCAGAATCAGTAAAATCAATGGACATCCACACTGGTGAGGAAGAAGAAATTAACCTTCTTGATTTTAAAGAAATCATAGAAGCAATAAATAAACTAAAAAATAACAGAGCCCCTGGTGATGATAAAATCCCAGCTGAGCTTCTGAAACAGCATTGAAGGACTCATAAAACAACAGATACTCTTATTATATCAATCTGGATTGGAGAAGGAATACCTGATGATTGCAAAACAGCTATTATATGTCCAATTCACAAAAAGATAAAGTGTAAAATATGACAATTATAGTGACATTGCATACTATAAAATATTATACAATCCAAACTATAGAGTCATGAGTCTCCAACATTCAAGAGGACAGTTAACTTGCCAACATTTCGCTAATTCAGGCATCATCAGGGCAGAAAAAAAAGATCACATATATTCAGAAAGAAAAACATGTGATAATCTTCATATATGTGATCTTGTTTTTTCTGCCCTGATAATGCCTGAATTAGCAAAACGGTGGCAAGTTAACTGTTTACTTGTATGTTAGAGACTCATGGCTTTATAGTTGGACCCTCTTGTGATATCTCCTGCAAAAATCACATATAAAGAGATTTTTCAATTACTGGATGATCACCTAGTTTTAATGTTTTCCTTCTAGAGACACAACAATGTGTTTTCAACACCACTACACAAAGCAATTCAAATAATATGTACTGAAAAACAGATCCATTTTCATTCCGTCTCTTGTCAGTCAACATTTTTTTCTTTCTTGTTCAGATTACCAGGGGCTTCGGATTACTAGAGGTTCAAATTATTGAGACTGTACTGTACTTTAATGAAAAATTTATCTGAAAAAAAATTATCCACTAACATTTATGACTATTCAAATGGAAGCCTGCAGTTTTTCAAAGACTTGAAAAAGAAGAAAGGTGATAACAGCAATCAATCTTTTAAAGTCAGTTCCAGTTGTTTTGAAAGATTTTTAATTTAAAAGCATGTGGATAGGTAAATATTTAATGATAATTTAAAAGCAATGCTTAAAGAAGTAAATTATTTGCTGCAGAAAAGTTTGGTACTTATCTAATAGCGGGTAGCATCCGACTGCTATCTGCCAATGTTTATAACCTTAACACTGATAAGCTCTTCGTATTCATATTTATTGTATTGTATTGATATTATTGAAATTGTGAACAAAAACAGAAACAAATGTAATAATAACAAAATGCTTTTATTTTACAACGTATATATATATTAAAATAGACCAAAACATTATAAATATATAATTAAATAAACTCACACCTGGCACAAGAAACAAAAACTAAAAAACAGAATAACTTAGGTTAGATGAGATAAGGGAGGTTATCTGAAATGAGATTAGATAAGAAGGGAGGTTTTGACACTACCCGCTACTAGATAAGCACTCAAATTTTTAACATGGATGAATCTTAAGTCTGATATAGTCATTCCAAATGACCCTTTTTCACTCACCCCGATAGGTGTTGTACAGTTAAAGCAAATTTGTCAAGTAATAATTATTATCGATGTTTTGCTTTTTTTTTTGTTCAAATGGTTTCTCTGAATAATTCTGTGGCATAACCAAAATTATCCTTTACTGTGGTACCTCAAGGGAGATTTTTATTTTATTACAATTAAAAAAAAAAGAGAGAGAGAGAGATGCATAGAGTGAAATATTCTCAGCTCATTGATCACACATTTTCAAACCTTTTCACAACTAATTCTGCTACTCTAACCCAATTTTGGATAAACATTGTTCGAGATCTTTTTATCCTTCACTAGTTCATTACAAATACACCACCATGACAATCTATCTGATTTTAGAAATAAGTCAATAATTCAGACAAGCCAATCTATTTTCAAATACCTCCTGCCATTCAGGATGCTTTCAAGCTATAAGAACCCTTTGCAAGAGATCCTACCTGCTTTGAAAATCGTCACCACTGTTTTCTTATGATTCTGTTAATATTCGGAAAAGTAGGGGATAATATTCATTAATAGGCATACGATGCCTTTAACTCATGATGCAACTTGATATTCTGGTTGCAGATAAATATTATTTAACACTATATCAGATAAATATAATCATATTATTTAATTTTGATTACTTATTTACTTAAAATAATTATCCACAATATTACCTAATCACAATTTAAAGGATCTTCCTGCTTCAATTCCGGTGGCTGGGACAATACTTTAGAGAGAGCAGCAGCTTCTTTTAAAGATAAGACCTGAAGAACTTGATCATTACCATTAGACATTGTGACAATTTGATGAGCAGAAAGTGGTTCAACATCATTTCCAGATCCTGTTCCTGGTTCAACTTTAGGAACATGAACCATAGGAGTAACAACCTTAAACAAATTAAACATAAATGAATAATTAATCAAACTATAAAGGTAAATAATCAAGTACTTATTATTTATCTGATAAAAATTAATCTAATTTCTATAATTTTTTTTTAGTTATGCCCCTCTTCATCAGCCGCCACCATCAGAGACCTTACAGTCCAGTACAATTCCGATTTCGATGGCGTGGTATCTTTTAAGTTCAATAAGAGCGTGTATACACTTACATGCGCTGCTGCATCCATATGTGCTGCCGAATTACATAGGTTGCAATGTGGAGGGTCTGCCACTCCTATTCAATGCAGATATTTCCTAAGATAGTTGTAGCCTGTTATCATCCTGAACTCTGCCACAGCTTCCTTTCTTGGCAGATTTACGGCCACTCGATCTGCTTTATTAAGCAATTTTCTCCTTTGCTTCTCCACAATTCTGATCTTTACGGGTTCCAGATCTAGAGCCTGACTTGCCTAATTTATTTCTTTTCTGGCTCTATGCTGGCCTAGATGATATTTGATTTTCAATGGCAGATGGTTCAATGTCGAGCCTTTCTTGATGAGTTTATCAGCCATTTCATTGTCATGGAGACCACAGAGATTTGGTATCTATTGAAAGAAAACCTCTGTTCCTTGAAGAAGTAGTTCCTCTATGATCTTTTGGCACTTCAGAATATCCTGAGCAAAGGGATCATTGGGCCACGACACAGCGGGAATAGTCGCCTTTGAATCCACAAACAATATGATATTTTTGGCATCTAAGTGTGACAAGGCTTGCAGTGCCAATTAAATTGCTTTGTTTTTACTTAAAAGGTATTTGGCCCAAGGTCACCAATAACATACGTTTTCATTTTATTTGTCAATGTTTCGGTCTCTTGAACCATTTTCAAGATTCTATAAAAATTTTCTAATTTAGTTATTTATCTTTAAATTATTTCGTGAATTATTAAGGAAGCTAGTCGACTGTTCTACATATCATGGGTGATAAATATTCAGGATCCAGTTATTTAATAACTTATATAATTTAAACTATTTCATTAACAACAGTCTGTTACATATATAGTCCTTATTCTATATTTTTATTATAGTTAACAACAAATTTTATTATATAACATAATAATTTTTTTATATTTTGGGTTAAAATTCATGTAAAATTACTTACCTAACATGCACCCTTTCATAATTTTTTTTTAAATATATCATTAGTCAGTTGATCAATCCTTTATTTCAAGGAATGTCTTTTTGATTGATAAAAATTATACATAAATAATTAAATATAATGCTAAATTTATAAGAAAAGAAAACAAAAAAGAATATTTCTTTTCTTTTCTTTTTTTTTTTGTTGGGAAGCTGTATGATATTCTCTGTTTTTTGGCAACGGTAATTCCAAATATACAACAATTGATTTATTTGTTGAATTTACAAGTTAATGTTTCGGGAAATTTACTTCCATCTCCAGAACTTACAGTCCCATATTTTCTTATCGATTCATGGCTAGAAAAGAGTTAATTAAAAAATAATGCACGTTACAATACATGTTAGAGTTGCATTGTTACATAAATTTTGTAATTACCTAAACTCTGATGTGTTCCTTTGTCATGTTTTAAATTTATGTTACCCGTGATCTCCTAATATAATCATATCATTAGAGTGCTACCATTGGGTAGTTACTCAGCAAGTGTATTCATGTCATTATATCAATTATGTCCAAATTTACTTGATGTATTTATGTAATACAGTTGTAAATGTCATAAAGAAATAAAAAAAAAAAAAAAAATTTATGTTATAGATAAATTACATTTATAATATCTAGAGTATCAACATTCCTATAGACCAATAATTGGGTGTCTGCTATGGGGGATACTATTGGCCTTTGGATATGATTATTTACTCTTTTACTATCGTTGTTAAATGATTGTTTGTTATGTAGCAGCATTTCATTTTTACTATATTGTAATTCTATTTAATATATTAGCATAATGTGTCCCCAAATGTTTGGTGTCTGTTTTGTAATTTACTGTCGTTCTATTGTTTTTTGTGATATGTAGGGCTTCAAGTAATTTTTTATTGTTTTTTTTTTGGTTTTGTTCCTAATATCTGTGGTTTATTGAAATTGAATTTGTGTTGTAATTTTATGCTGTGATATGGTAAAGCTGTGGCGTTTATGATTTTTGTATTTTTGCAGTTAGTAATGTGTTGTGTAATTCTGGTCCTTAAATGTTTGGCTGTTTCCCTGATGTAGATTTTGAGGCAGTTTTGACAGTTTAATTTGTAAATTATATTTTTCTTGTCTAATAAGTCTATTCTGTCTTTTGTATTGGTGATGTACCTGCCCAGGTTTTGTTATTGTATTGCCCAAGCTTGATGTCTGGTATGTCATAATTTTTAAACACGTCCTTAATTTTGTTTGTAAGTTCAGGTATGTATATCATTTTGTAGCAGGAGTTAAAGTTCATTTTGTTTGTTTGTGAAATGTTGTCTTGATTGTTCTTAAATTTGTTTTTTTCAAAAAATTAGGTGATGAATTGTTGTATTGGTTTCTTTATCGTAATGTTTTCTTTTGGTGTTTTGTGTGTTACTTGTTTTTTGGTTTTATTATCATTTTGGTTTAGTTTTGTACTATGTAATCGACTGTACCATAATTTGTTGATTATGTTTGTAGGATAAAAATTCTCAATAAGTATTTTATAAATTTCTATTTTTATTTGTGGAATAAAAGGTTTGTCAGTTAGTTCTATTGCTTTGTGTATTAGTTTTTTGGCTGTGTTAATTATTTGATATCAGGGATGGTTTGAGCTAAAGATAAGAATTCTATTGCTGTTATTTTCTTTTTTTATCCATTTGGTAAGTAACTGTTCTTTGTCTAAAATTATGTCCATGTCCAGAAATCTGAGTCTGCTATTTATGGCTTTTTCTATTTGAATCTAATTCTTTTGCTGTACTGGTTGAAACATTTCAGTATTCCATTTCCCAATTCTTTCCTTATTATAAGTAGCAAGTCATTTATATATTTTTTGATTAACAAGGGTTTTTGTTCTAATTTAGATAATTGTGTTGTGATAAGTTTTTTTTAAAAAATGCAACTTAGATTCGCTGACATTGTATTGAGAATTTTTATCCTGCAAACCTAATCAACAAATTATGGTACAGTTGATTACAAAAATACTAAACCAAAAATCAAGTAGTCAATAAGGGGTAGCTAATTAGAGATAGGTTAGTGGCTGAGCTAAGAGAAAACAGCCAGAGAAAACGCTTACTTGTTGAGACAAAGCTGACTCTACTGCAAGCGGTGAACAGTTGCACTACCAACAATCTGGCTAGCAAAAAAGATGGCTGGAAATAAATCTATTACGATGCTCTGTAAGTTTTGCGGGATAGAACACGGGAAGAGTTCAGTAACTGTCCAGTGTTTGGAAAGATTTGCAGATTCTGTAAAGGGAAAACCATTTCAGCAGAGTCTCTTTTAAGCGGAAGGTTCGGACGTGACCGATTAAGTAATGGGTGGTGAAGGGTCAGATGAGGAGAATGCTGGAGAGCCAGTTTACAGCACAACTCTGGAGGGCAAATGACAGCTGTTTCTTGATCTTGGGGTTCGTATCAAGGAGAAAATTACTTAAGTATCAATTAGATTCTGGAGTAAATGGTAATGTTATAGGCTTAAGTACTTTAGAAGATTTACTTGAAGAAAAAAACTTAACGACTTAACTTAACTTAACTTGAAGAAAAAAGCTAGGAAGTAGCAATGCGAAATTATGTTTCTATGGTGGTGCTTTTGCACGTTCTTTAGGAAGTGTAACACTTCAAAGGACACTTTGGAGGAAGGATTCATAAAATTAAATTTGAGGTGTTAAATACTAATAAAGGCACGCTTCTCGGAGCTGAGGACTGCTTGAAATTAGGTTTAATGACACCGAATGAAGAGGTGTAAAAAGCTACAACAGAGCCTAATTTAGTTGATTTGTTCCCCCATGTCTTTGAAGGTCTAGGGTGCTTCCTGGATATATATGATCTCTGTGTGGATTTGTCGATCTCATCCATTGTCGCTCCTCCTAGGAGGATCCCGATAGCATTACGAGAGGAAATGAGTGGGGAAATTAGCAGACTAGAGAAGCTGGGGGTTGTAATTAAAGAAACCGGTTCAACAGAGTGGGTTAGTAACATGGTGATTGTAAAAAAACCGAATAAATTGCGAATATGCTTCGATCCTCATTATTTAAACAAGGCCACAAAGAGGTCTCATTACCAGTCTCCTACATTAGATGAACTCCTTCTCCAGTTCGAGGATGCTCAAGTCTTTAGCCTGTTGGATTTGAATGAAGGATTCTGGTAAACAAAGCTCACGTCAAGCAAGCTTACTAACTTCTGGACGCCTTGGGGTAGATACAGGTGGACCAGGTAGCCGTTCGGTGTAGACACAGCACCTGAGGAATTTCAAAGGCGGGTGCATGAGGGGATTGAAAGTTTGGATGGAGTGTATGCTATCCCAGATGATATTCTCGTAATTGGAAAAGGAAAAAAATATAGCTGAAGTATTGTCTGATCACAATAAAAAACTGAAAAATTTGTTACTAAGGGTTAGAGAGAAAAATTTCAAGTTTAATAAGCAAAAATGTAGCTTTGGGCTTTCAGAAATACTTTTATGGGACATCTAATAACAGATAAGGGTATGAAACCTGATCCGAACAAAATAGAAGATATATCGGCCATATCAGCCTTTGTAATATCGGTATTTCGATATCGATCGATCCTTAAAATAAATGGATACAGAACAATTATTTTTGGGGCCAAACATACAATGGTACTAGATAAATGCAAAATAAGGATCTTGAATGATTCAATGGAGTGCCCCCAATCATTCTACGGCAATAAAAAAGTACAAAACATTTATGTTGGGAGCCCCGAAGATTAAGAGACTTAAACAAATACATAATAATTATTTTTGTGATACTAGAAACATATAAAACTATGGTTTTAGAGCCATCTCCTGGAGCCCCCTCTGGTTTGGGGCTCAGGACAATTGCCTACTGGCGAGGAGAAAATGCCAGAACAGTGGAAGAGAAATATCATCTACCCACTTCATAAAAAGACAACATCCTGGAATTTTTGCCACTTTTTCTTACACTAAAAAGCTATTTTCAATCTAAAATTTGATATTTTCTTGAAATTATTCTGAGCTATTTTCGTTGAACTACTTTACGCAACAGTCTTTGGAAGAATGTGCAACTTACTGACTACAAATATGACTAGATAATCTCATAAAACAAAAAAATTCTCTCCGGGTCAAATGACCTGTTGTGGTAGATATCGGTATACAACAAGGATTACTCAGAATAAACAAAACAAAACAAAACAAAAATATTTTTATAACTGTAATTAATTACTTAGAAAAAGTCATGAAGTCAAATGTGCAAACGCAATAAAATTATACGTGCCAAGAGATAAAGTTCAAAATGGGTCATTTGACCCGTTATGGTATGTTTAGTGTTAATTTTAACATAAAGAGTGCATCGCGACCTCAGGAAGGCCTATTGTGAGTCATCCTAAACTCAATTGAGGCTCCATGCCCCATAGCCTGCAGGAGGAGGTCTCACTTTTACCCAAATTAAAAAGGTGCTTATTTAATTGATAGTGACCAGTGTACAATCCTGTCACACGCCTAATGGTACTCCTGTCCATTAGAAGAAGTGATTTACTTCTCTTGTGATAGGGCCCTACTAGGAATAACTTAAAATGAGTTAGTTTCCTAGTCTGTTCCCAATGTAGCATAAATTTATTAGCCATGATTGCCTTAACACATTAAAGGCGGGAGTCATAGTAATATGATGTATCTCGACTGTTGCTTAAAGGCGGGAGTCGTAGTAATTACCGCGTTACCTAGCATACTTTCATCAAGATCCCCCACCTTTAATGTGTTAATATGCCTCTTGTGCAAAGCCTTTTCTAGCAACGTAATTGGCTTTCTCATTGCCTGGAATGCCTGAGCGCCCAGGTACCCATTCTACCCTCACCTTGTTAGTACTACAAAGAAGGTTAAGATTGTCTTTACATTCATTCAGCAACATTGAGCGACTTGTATAACTATTCAGGGCCCCAATTGCAGCTTGACTATCCGTATGTATTGTTATCAATGTATTCACAATGCCCTCCCTTATAAGTGATTGAACACAGAAGTTGATAGCTAGAATCTCAGCTTGAAAGATGGACATATATCTACCTGGAGATATAAAGATTCCCTCATTAGGTTTATCCTTTCTCCGGATGCCAGCCCCTAATCCCTGCTCCAACAAGGAGCCGTCGGTATAACAGTTAACTCCATTACATGATCTATGTGAATTATTTCTGCCTATATTAAAATTATATAGTATATCTTTATAATTATCGACTTGAAGGTCAGAGTTCATTGCAAGCACCTCATTGCTATCAGTCCTATCAAAAACGATCCCATGACCCTGAAACATCAGGAATTTCGATCTCATTCCAAGTTTATCCAATCTATAGGCAGCTTAGAGAGCATGTGCTTCCACCTCTAAATGCAATGGTATCAGATTTAAAAGAACCTCCACTGCAGTAGTAGGAGTAGTGCTCATAGCTCCCATGGTCATAAGGCATGCAAGCCTTTGAAGCTTGCCAAGCAGCATTCTAGGCTTGCTTGCTGCCCTATGCCACCACACAGAAGTTGCATAGAGAATCAAGGGTCTAATCGCAGTTCTGTATAGCCATAAGGCCTTACTGGATTTCAGCACCACAATAAGCCAACTCTACTAATAGATTGATCATTACACCCAGAAGAACACATTTTAAATCATTCATTGAATAAAAGTGGTGATCTACAGGGTTAAGCACTACTTATACAGAGATTTTGGTCAAGTTACCCTAATGGTCAATTTGAATATTTACAATTGCAAAAATCTGTAACTGATCCAGATAATGGAATCATCAACAAAAGCCTTCAATTTAATGAATACAAATTTATTAATAATGATCAACATAAACATCGTTAAAAGAAAAAATTAAAACAAAAACCTGAATAGTCCCATCTCCTTGAGTATGTATTTGTTGAATGTTAGCAACAACTGTCTGATACATTGATGCAGAAACAGGTACTGTAATCATGCCTGATACTGAAACTGGGTATCCTGAAAAAAAAAAAGCAAACAAAAATTAATTAATCATAATGTAAATATGTTCTTTTCCAAACCACAAAGTGACAAAGGTGAAAGCAACGCATTGATAAATTTATTCACATTCTTAGGTCTCATCCACTAAAGCACTGCCCCTTATACCAACTTTACTCATTTGACCCTTGCTCCACATGTGGTCACAATGGCACAAAAACCATAACCCCTCTTTAAATAAAAAAATAGTGCAAGTTTAAATTGATTAATTACTTTATTAAATGTAATAATTTCTTTAAAATTTAAAGAAAGCAACTAGCTTTGGAATTCATAACATTAAACAGTAATCAGGATAAATTTTTAATATTTTCTGACTCTTTTTCGGCTCTCGCTAGCATTTATAATAATTCTGCTAATTATAACTAAATTAAATTGATATAACTTTGATTATAATTTGTAATACAATTTAATATATTTTTATACAATTTTGAAGTAGTGCCTATAAGAGAACTAGGGTATTCACGTCAGTGATGGACATAGTCAAGGAAATTTTCGTCTTTTATTCCTTCTCCCGCCTTACATGTTTTATTCCATACCTAAAATTGAAATAATTATCAGTTTTGCAAGTGTGACCTCCAGCACTAGTAATGGTCATCGTGAAATCCTATTGTTCTAGTGATGGACGGGGGGTCGGTACCAGTGATGGACATACTTCAGAAAACCTCAAAAATCTTTATCTTTATTAATCTATAAAAAACAACAATTTTAATTAATTAATTTACAATTTCACTCACCTGTATATGAAATAAATAATCAGAAGAAACATTGCAATCTTCAAAAATTTCGATTACGATTTCTCAATAGAAAAACATGTTTTAAGGTCTCCTGAGTCTTAATGAACAAGTCTCACAAAATGGTGAGTGTGTATGCAAAAAAATATACTCCTTTAAAGTAGGTTAATTTTGATTATTAGAAGTAATGAACTATGAAAGAATTTGATAATTAACATAAGGAAAAATATGTTCGCAGATCGAAAAGAATTTTCTGGAAATCAAATGAGTAACACAAATGTATCATATAATGTTGGGAATCTAAAGATGTTAAAAAAATTAATAACTAACATATAGTAAGTTTTAGAAGGTAATGGATATTGATGCAAAACTAATGACTTTTAGGGTCAGTAAATATAGAAATATGACAGTTTTGCACTAAAAATGTGGAGAGCCTTTAATGGACTTGGGTGGGCCCACTGATGGACACCCCCTTTTCATGACTGGTTAGAGACATTTAATAGAAAAAACAAGGGTATCATCTGATTTCCCATCATTTTTGGACTCGGTATACACAGAAATATGAAAATTTTACATAAAAAGTGTAGGGAAGCAGTAATGGACATGGGTGGGTCCAGTGATGGACACCCCCTGTTTATGACTGGTTAGAGACATTTTAGAGAAAAAACAAGGGCACCATTTGATTTCCCATCATTTAGGCTCCTTTTACACAGAAATATGAAAGTTTTACATTCAAAGTGTGGGGAGCCAGTAATGTACATGGATGTCCATAACTGGTATGGACCTAATTTTTGACCTAATGATGGACGAACATCCTCCAAAAGTCGTTATGGTAATTTTGAGGAAATCCAATGTAAAAATCGAATTGCTGAGGTTCTGAAAAGATGAAATGGACATTTCAATGGTAATAATCCTAAAATTTAAAGAGCTATTGATGTAGAACTAATCCTTATCAATCTGGTTAGTAGGAAGCTATCAAACACACAGATCTCAAGATTAGAAACAACACTGATATTTTTTCTTAAATATACTTTTGGAGATTTTCTTCTTATAGTTGTCAACAGAAATTATTGCCCTGTAAACAAATCAGAAAGCTTATTATTTATATTTAAAGGCCAAACTGTCCATCACTGGGCCTCCTGTCCATAAATAGTGCACTCATCCTTATGTTTGAACATTTATTCTCTCATAGACACTACTTCAAAATCCAAAACCATAAGTTTTATGGGGTTACCAGGCCATGCAGGTATATAGGGCAATGTTCTTGCTGACACTGCTGCCAAAGAAGCTTCAACCCTGTTTCCAGTATTCAAATTTCCATTCTTTTGTCAGACTTCAAGTCATTTATAAAAAAAAAAAAAAAAAAAAAAAAAAAATATATGGAATGAAACTTGGCTCCGGGCGGGTAGATAAAGCTAATAGATTAATAGCAGTTAGAGATACAGCAAATCCATGGAATATTATACCCTGTAAAAGAAAAGAGGTCACTATAACAAGGCTAAAGACCAATAAAAGATAATTCACAGCTATCTAATAGAAGGAAAACCCCCTGCCAATGTGTACCAGTTGCCGACAACAACTGACTATCAAGCACAAATCGATAAACTGTGACCTACACCAAGAAACTAGAAGAAATCTAGGAATCATCAGACAGGATCTACAAAAGCTAATTAGAAATGACAACAAATTTAATGACCAACTTATACAATACTTAAAAGAAATTAGATTTTTTTAAGGAACTAACTCAGGACCAAAATGTTTGGGATTCATGGATCGAGGCACGTCCACACTGAAAGGCACAAAGGAGTTGGTGAAAGAAGAAGAAGAAAGAAACTTTGAATATAACAAAGGAATGGAGTCTCTAGCCTAATACAGCGGTACATGGCACCATAATGTTAAATAAACAAAAATTACTAAACTACTTACATTGATGAAAGCTTATGATAAGTGGTTAATAAATTTAATTTAATTTCCTTTGTCGAGCTTCCGAATGTTAGCAAATTCAGTGGGGCTAAGTGGTGTGAAAATGAGGCAATCAAATATTCATATTAAATGAGATAATATTTATTAAATCAGATAATCAAAAATATAGATGATGATTAATCAGGAGAAAGTAATTTTTTGATCATATACTTTTTTTATAATAATTCACTAAACATAATATTTTTGGGAAGCTAAATGGCAAATTGCTATTAATATTGCTAAGGTTGAATATAAATATTGATTGAAAAATTTATAGTTATTATTACGGCTTTAATGATTTATCCCCTTACACATATTGATGGTCAACTTCACAGATGTATGCAACAATCTATAAATAAGTGTTGAATACTGCTAGGAAATGTTTAATCTAGCATTAATTTTATGGACATTATATCGATGGAGTTATTTTAAAAATAGTTTTAGTGCTAACATTTTTTTTAGAAACATGGTTAACAGCAATGATAATAGCACTTCACTATTGGTCAGTGTAAACAGCAGGCATACAAATGTTATTAAGCTGAAGTAGTAACTAATGACAATGTTACTGGTAACATTTCAATGTAAGTCCACCTTGAGAAAGATAAATATTTTAATTCACCTCAAAATGAATACATACATACCACGCCCGTCTTCACCGGTGAGAATCAACTGACCATCTTGATTTAATGCATCATCATTACAATTATTAAGATCTACAGACACAGTATCTCCTTGGTTACTAACTTCAGTAAGAGTTTGAACAGTATGGACAGTACCATCAGCTTGACCAGTATGTATCTGAAAAAAATTAAAATGAAAATTAAATAATATTTGAACTGTATTAAACTGATTATAAGATATAATTATCTATCATAAGTTCATAATTTTATAAAGAAAATTTTTAAAAAATTGTGATAATTATAATTGTAAATTGGCAAATCACCAATAGATTTATTACACATTACAGATTTATCAAATGTCCATCAGATTTTGTAATTTACCTGTTTCCCTTTTGCCTATAATATATTTGACTGTACTCTCTGATTTATTTATTGATTGATACTTGAAGGTTTTGTTTTGAAACCTGTACAAACGTACATGTAGTGATTTTGTTGTTAGTTCTCGTTTAGTGGTCTTGATTAGAGGAGGAATTGAGTAAAATAATAATTAGTAATCCTGGGATAAAAAAGGATATGCGGATTGGAAATAAGCCTCAAAGAAACATGCGAGTGATAAGATCCAACAATAGAACGTGAGAATAAGCTCCCTTCTTCAATTATCTAGGAGTTTACCAGTATGGTAATGGCTTCATAGAAACAGAAGTGAAGGCAGCAAGAGGACTGTTCAATGCCATTATGGAGAAATTACTCAATAGAAAGGAGATGACCAAAAACACAATTTCAGTCATGAAAAATGAAATAATTTTTAATTCTCTCTCCAATTTATTTTTATTTTAGACCATTCTGTAGACACAGTGTAATTGAATATTAGATATATTATTACATATGACTATTTATTATTTCATATTATAGGCCATATATGACTGCATAAAAATCCAAACTATAGTTAAAAATTATGATTCTATTATGAAAATGGAAGAACTTCAACAGCAATTATATCTGTATCTTTTAAGGTATGTAGATAATACTTGTTAATCTTAAACTTTTAAGTTATAGCTATTCTAATTTTAAACTGTTAATACTAAAGGAGCTCTGTTGTGATATACTACTTGAACAGTTTGCAGTTTAATTTTTTTTTTTTTTTTTTCTTAAAGCTATATTTATATAACATTTCTTTTGATATTAAATTTTATCCTTAAATATCTGGCGAAACTTAGACTTACAGTTGCAACACCTTGGACATGTGCAGTAGTACCATCAGGTAAAGTAATAATAGGATTATTTGGATCAACCTGAATTATGGAAACAGTTCCATCAGGATTACTAATTGTTTGTAAAACAGCTGGTGCATACTGTGCTGTAATCTGAAAACAAACAAATTTATAACATTGACTTAGTCACTAACTACTGTTCCATATAGTATATAATGGCATAAGTAAGGGGTTCCCAACACAGAGCTCGTGGGCACCATTGTGCCACTGTGCCCGCCTATGTCTAATATAATCTTTAGTGGCCATCGCCTTGACTACAGTTTTACTGTTGCCGGCTGCAGATCAAAAAAATTTTTATTAAATTTTGAATATTTATTTTAATAACCATCTAATAATTAATTGTAAAGTATGAATGCTCATTTAAAAAGTTGTATTTTTTAAAATCATCATAACTTTTTTATATGACATGCTGCAGATAGACGAATTTTCAATTACTTTATTAAATATATGAATATTTAGAAATCTAACAAGAGTTTATAGATATAAAATTCAATAATAATTATTTACTAATAATAATTCATTCACGGATATAACATCATTACTATTATTTTGATTAATCTCTTTCTGTGGTACTAAAAAAAGGAATTAAACTGTTGGTAACATTGCATTTAACTCATTTTATAACTGGTTATACCCCAAGTCGCTTTCAATTAATTATCAATTTCAATTTGAAAACGTGTTAATTTAATATAAGAAAACTATATAAAATTAATACAATCATTGAACTTGGTGTTTTCATCTTTCCTTTAGAAATATTCTTCATTAGTTTAAAAAATGATAAAGGTGTCTCCTACTATACATATATACACACATATATATATATATATATATATATATATATATATATAATATTGATACCATTTACAATTTCTTTTTAAATTTATAAACAGTAACCTACCTGCAATTTACAATGAACAAAATCATGATGCCTGTCACCCAAGACATAACCTATAAATGTGCCTGCTGCTGAAAAAAGGTTGGGAACCTCTGGCATAAGTTATCACTAAAAAATCTTAAACATAGGTATGCTGATTTCATATTTATTAATAAAAATGGCACTTTAACTACAGGTTAATCATTCTATGTTTGTGATGCGTTGAAAAGGAATGGGTTAGTTAGCTCAGAAACTAAGGCACCTGGGCCCAGGTTCAAATCTGAATGTGATAAAGTGTATTTTAAACTAAACCACTCTTGAAAAATGATTTCATTTTTACAACTGCTAATTGGTTTCTAATTAAGTAGAATTATATTTTCTAAACTGATGCTTTTAAAGGAATGACTTTTTATTTTTATTTTCCTATAACAGCCAATTTTACATTCTAAATATGCCAAGCATTGCCACTACTCAAAGTGGATATTATTTTTTTGCTAGTCTTACTGCAATTTCAAAACAAATAGATAAACATTTTCGATTAAGTACTAATTCATTCGCATTTTAAATCTGTTCAGTTGAATAAAAAGTTTCAGGAATAAATTCAAGCTCAACCTTAAAATCATCTACCACTTGTAAATCACTATTGAGCTATGAATACCGTAGCTGTGCTTAAATCTGATGAGTCATCCTTAAGGAAGTATCAAACTTTCCTTATAAACTGAGGGCCTAAGAAAAAATTCTTTGCTTTAGGAGCAACAATAGAATCTCACATAGGTGTATTTTCTTTTGAATTAGACATATCCATTCAAGTAATGCCCCATCAAGATCCTATAGTGAACTCTTCACAGACTTTCGTTTTTCATTTCCAATAAACTGTCCTATACTGGATCAAACAAAATTAATTTGTCCTTTAGTTTAAAAATACCCCACACAATTGTTTCATGACCAGAACACAACTTTTTCTGTACAATTTCCCACTTTTTTTTTAATTGTTAAAACAACTTTTTTATTTCTAGCTGTTTATAAATATGTATATACTGGAGTTATGGAAATTGCTAGATTCTCTACTCAAGACTTGTGCGCCTGTGGCTAAAGTGATGGCTAGTTTGGAGTATGCCCATGCTTAAGATGTTATTTTATTTTATTTATCATTAAGTTTACTTTTTTAATATTCTTATTTCATAATTATTTTGCTTTTATTTTACTTAATTAATTTATATTTTCTGTAAATCTGGTGTAAATGAACTCTTTGCTCATTATTACCAGTATTGTGACAGAATCTAATATAACACAATCAAAGATTTTCAATTTTTAGGAGACCTTGTTTTGGTTACTCACAATTAACTCAATGTCAACAAGGCTAGGATTGTATACCACCTCAGTGACATGTATTCTTCTACTAAGTGACATTATTTTGTTCAATGGAGTGCTCCTACACTTTAAAATTGGTAAGGTGAAGATTTTTCTCTTTTAATTCACTGGATGTAATTTATTTGGGAGAGTTACATTGGAACAATTCATATGCAACCCCTCTTTGTTATTTATTTATTAAAATTTATGTGTGGCATCTTTTCTAAATCTCAATTTTTTTATTTGCTCATATTTCAAATTCTCTCTTACTATATTAATATTAGGTAATTATTGGAAAAATTCCAAACTACACAACCTTATGTGCCCAATACAGGCAAAAAAAAAGTCAATGTTTTTTCAGGGATCATCAGAATAGAAAAAAACAGCTAATTGAACACCACTCCATGGACCCGCATAATGAGGTTGATCGCATAATTTGAGTATGTGATTGGATTTCATTGAGTGATTTTCGTTTAGCTGTTTTTTTCTGTCCTGATGATGCCTGAATTGGCAAAGCATAGACGAGTTTTTTCTTTGCCTGCATTTTGGAGACACAAGGTTGTTTGGTTTGGAATTTTTCCAATAATAACCAAACATTTATAGTCTGTCTCTTGGTTATTTTATTACTAATTTATAACTATATTAACATTTTAGTTAAGTATTTTTAACGACCACAACAGTTGTATATTAACTGCCACAACAGTTTTATATGCCTGCAAAACAGAAGTCATGACATTTTGTCTTTTACAAGTACTTGTGACTCATCTCTTTCTTAAGATATGAATAAAGATGCTTCATTGGTTACATAATTAATTGATTATCTATCAGCACCTACAATTGTATCTTCATATAACTCCGAATCTGAAGGTAATTTAAGCTGCATAGAAACAAGTACTAACTTAAAAAACTACGAATAACGGTATAGATGTGATTTATGGAGAATTATAATTCTTAATTATGGAGGGTGTGATCAATAAAGTCAAAGCACACTAATAAGTGAAACTTATTTTACTTATTGTGTTCTTCCATTTTGAGCCACTTAACAGGTCATTTGAGCTAAATAAAAAAGATAAAAAATTAATTGTGAATTGATGGTTGACTGCAGTGAATAATCGAAGAGAAGATTGGTTGGGGTGATTAATAAAAAAAAAAAGGTAATAATAAATAACTATATTTATTTTTGCCGACGTTTTGGGCTCAAGTTCAGGTCTTCATCAGGGCTGGTCAAACGAAAGACTTCTGCGAGACTAATAGTGCATTTTTATTAACTGTCTTTTATAATATTTTCTGTTATTTATCTACTGTTACTTTATTAGAATGTATAATTTATTATCTTTCTATCTGTGAAATATATAATTAATAATTCAGTAAAATATATAATTACAAGTATCATTATTATATTTCTATCAGTTTATAATTCAATATTGTATAATTCATTACTGCTTTTAACTTTCATTTAATTTACTCTGTTCATAATTATTTCAATTCCTGCAATAGTTCAACATTAATTTTTTATCTTTTTTATTTAGTCCTGACGAAGACCTGCAAAATGTGATGACCAATTCTTTCTCAAACATTGTAGATCTTAACGGTAAAATGGTGGTTAGGGAGGAACAGAAACAGAAAAAAAGTATGTGTAAGATGCAATAGAATATTGTGTACATAAAATAAAGAGTTCTCACTGCTTATAAGAAACATAATCTTATATAACTTACGAAATATCTAAGGATGAAAAATGATCAGGATGTGATTCCATATTTTGAGTGCGCACCCTTACAATATCATCAGTTAACTATATACCTATATCTAAATTATGAAATATCGTTAAATTAAGTGAGTCTTATGAACAATTATATAAAGGAAAAAAAAATTATACTTCCTCTAAATCAAGTTTATCAAAAAATTGAGATTAGCTTTTTGAAATGTTCTATCCTTCAACAGATTGAAAACTCTTCAGGCACTCCTCTCACAGAGTTTGATGATAACCAGATTGATACTGCAGCAATGCAGATAATCAGTTGGATGAGAAAAGAAGAAGAATACATTATACTCTAGCTGTCATTACTCCAAACACTCCTTTGGGACGAAGTTTATAGAACATGAACCTGCACACCAACTGGTTACCAACTTTACTCCCTTAAACCCGAGGATTTGCAATAACTTAAAAAATTAATGAATGTATGCCCAAAAAACAATGTAAAAATCCTCCTAGGTGGCAGAAACTAGCATATAGACCAATTATATTGCCCTTCAGCATGCATGAGTAGTACAACAACATTGGTCTTAGACCGGTTAATTTTGCAGTATCAAAGGGACTGGTAATTGGTGGCACATTTTTCAAGAAGAAGAGGATTCATCAAGCCACATGGGTATCACCCAGTGGAAGGACCATGGGCCAAATTGACCACCTTCTAATAAGCCCGAATCACAAGTCAGATTTGATTGATTTAAGGACCTGCAGAGGAGGGAATGCTGTTTATGATCATTATATGAGCGAGGCAAAGATCAGTGCCAGGATCTCTACTACAAAACCTCAAGGACAAAGACAGACTTACATACTGAAAAGCTAAAGGATCCCAAAGAACAAGATTCATTTCAAATAAAGCTTGATATGAGAACTTGATGACCGCACTTCATAGCACTGTTTACAGCATAGATAATAGCTGGGAAACATGCTCACATGTTCATAAACCCTGCTGCACAAGATATACTGGGCCTTATACAAAGAGAACCCCATAAAGGCTGGTTTGATGAAAAGTGATTCAAAGCAACATCCAAGAAAAATAGATTCTATAGAAAGACGATCCAGAGACAAACCAGGCAACCTTACCAATCATACAGGAAGTGCAGAAGAATGGAGAAGACAGTCCATCAAAGAAAGAAGAGAGCCTGGGAAAGCAAGAAGCTGGAAGATGTAGAACATGTTAGAGCATTTAATGATACACGTTTATTCTTTCAGCGATTAAATGAAGAAAAAGCAGCCTTTAAATAAAGAATAAAATCATGCAAAGGAAAATATGGTATGCTCTTAACTGAAAAGAATGCTATCCTACATTGGTGGAAGCAGCACTTTAGGGAACTTATAATAAATAAAATAGTAATGGACCAAATGTGAAAGAAGAGAATGAGCGTGGAAAGAATGATGAAATGGATGCAGAGCCACCAGTTGATGAAGAGGAAGATGAGGCAATAAATAAAATAAAAAAACACATCCGGGATATGACCGAATTCAAGTGGAACTCCTGAAGCACAGTAATGAAGGTCTAAGAAAAATCCTCCATGAAATAATATTATTGATATGGGAGGAAGAAGATCTAACAGAAGCAAGGAAACACGGAATAATATTGCATATCCAAAAAAAGGAGAACAGGCTGATTGTAACAATTATAAGGGTATCACGCTATTTCCGTGTGCTTCAAGGTTCTATCTAATATCATCTTTTGCAGACTTGTTCTCCATTCACCATGCAGAAAGAGTTCTTGGGAAATACCAAGCTGGCTTGAGGAAGGGGGATCCCCCACCAACCAGCTTTGTATGATCTCAATATTTCCCCTAAACTAATACGGCTCACCAAACTGAATAAGACAAAATGTCAATTAGGTAAAAAAAAAAAAAAAAATGATTTTATAAGTAAAGAAAAACAAAAATCAAATGATTTAATATAGAAATAAATAAATTTTTACATGAATTTTGTTTTAAAAAACAAAGAAATAGAAATTAAAAGATACATTTATTCTTTTAATATCCTGAATGACGTATTGGAATTGTTTTTAATAAACAATTTAAAAAAAAAAATTATTTTAAAAATCTAACTATAATAAATATTAAATAAACTCTTTTGATGAGTGTGTAAAAGCAATGAGGTCAGTTATTATCTCACCTGTTACACATCAAATAAATGTCTCTTGGTAACAGTGCTAACAACTACAAAACAACTTTTTTTTAACACAAGAGCACATTTTTACAGCAGGTCTGTTCTAATCTTTTGACTAGTAAAAATTTGATATGATGTGAAATCATACATAAATTAATTAAATGACTGCCATGGTATTTAACAACTAAGGTAGAAACTCATCACCAGAGACCAGATTTTTTTACAATTGCTTATTTTGCCCGCATGCAGTTTTAAAATACTGATTAAATATTGTTGCCAATCAGAATATTCAGATGTGTTAAGTTAAATTGTATGCTACATATTTGATAATAAATGCATATAATTACATGATTTAATTTAGTAAATTAAGTCAAATATAGTTTAAGTTCCACTATAGTCAAATTGAAAATTTAAATCCTACATTGAAGATGAAATACCACATTACAATTATAATTTATTTTTCAATCAATAAAGAACAACAAAATAACACTACCTTCAATAATAGACTTCTTTTAATATATTTAATTTATATTAAATTATAATTTAATATATTTATTTTATATTTAATATATTTTTTTTTGTTTTTCAGCTTTTCACCGCCCTCTCTCCTTTCTTATCCGTTTTAAACTTTTAAATAACATACTCTGTTACAATTTCAGTTACCTTCTTACTTTTTTTAACACATAATATTTATTATTGTTTATTTAAATGTATCTTTGCAACTATTATTCAAAACAAGTTTAGGGTGATATAATTATTAGTGAAAATAAATTTGCTCTCATAAAATCTATTCCTATGAAAAGATTACTATAAAACACTTTAAACAATAGAAGATTAACTTTCCCAGAAATTTATTATTTAATTTTAAATCAGCACATATCATTTACTAATCCATTTGCTTTTTTTGTTCATGTCAATTAGTTTTAAAATATAATTGTCAATTTTCTAATACAATTACTAATTGTAAGTTTCTATTACTTTCATATTTTAGTTTTTAAAATGTACCTCACATTATTTTTATATCTATTAACATACTTACTGTTTCTCATGTGTTAATTTGTGTCCTAGCTATTTCCAGATTATTATATTTTTTTTTATTATCGTCAATTAGTTATCCTTTTTAAATATAATCACCTATTGCGGTTTTAGTTTAGTAACTAATTGAAAGTTTGTATTAGTTTTTAAATATTTTTAACACAATAGTAAAATTTTAATTTTTAAAAAATGTTGCAGGTAATTATTTTATCTATCAATACATGCATATTTGTATTCCCCGCTCTTTGGTTGTCATATAATGTTTTAATTATTATAGTTTATGAAAAAGAAAAAAAATTAAATTATCGTCATAAAATTTAGTTCTTTCACTTAGATAAAATTCACAGAAGATATGCATCACTGATAATCAACTTCTGGTTAATTAGAAGTTGGATGTACCATTTCAATATTATAATAACTTTTTTTTCAGCTCCTAGTTTTGCAGTTATTTTACAGTTTATGCAGTTTTAAATAATAAATTACATGGATGAAATACATATAAACAAAACATTCCATTGCTCATTCAAAAATTTCACAATAAAATAACAATAATTAAGTGACAAGAGGTAAGAAGGAAATGTTGCAATGAACCTGATGAGATTGCAATGGACTATGGTTTGGACTATGTATGCTGGATTTTTGGCTACTGTGAAATTTAAGAACTCCTACAGGTGATGGACATTTTTCCTCTTCTTCTTCTGAAAATGCAGGAAGTAAATCTTCTCTACCATGGTACTTGTAGCAATTAATGACAATCTGCCTTAGTGCATGAGTCCAGGATATCTGCAAATGAAATCAATGTTTGTAGGAATATAATTAAAAAATCAATATTGCAACTAATATTAATCTCACTGATATGTAAATTTTAATAGAAGACTATTTTAATTGAAATGTTAAAATGTCCTTTCATTGTTAATTAATTAAACATGGTTAAAAATTAGGCTATTTTTTAATCCAAGGAAAAACTAAAATTATTAGCAAATTTTATTAATTCAATTATAAAATTCCTGTTATTACATTTTATCCTTTCTATTTTCACCATTTTCAAGTAAATAAATTATATATATATATATATACACACATATATCTATGTATAAATAGGGTGTCTTGTAAGTATAGGGAAATATTTAAAGAGGTAATAGTAGACATCAAAAGCTATAAAAAAAATTCACATAAAGCATGGGGGATTTTCTGCAGGAAATTTAACATAAAATCATTTATTATTTGCAATTTTTTTTAACACCCTCCAACTCGTCTACAATACCCCCATTTTAAGAACAACTTTTTTGGTTAATAAGCTTTAAGTTCATAGTAATTAATTTGAGAATTATTATAGAATAAGTTGAGATTCACCTCTAATTATATGAAAAAAATATGTGATTTGATGCTGTCATCCTCAAAATACTTGTGATTTTAGCAAAAATAAACATGATAACTTGTTAAAAAGCGTTTATTTATTTCTTTTTCCTATGACCTGGGATATATTATGGTAAATTAATCACAAAAAACACTTATTATTATTTTTAAAAAACTAACATTTTTGGAAAACTTTATCCTCTTAAGTCATAATGCACAAGTGTTTTTATATAGATTTTTATCATGAGAATTGATTGCTCTTATTTTATTATCTGACCAACTAAATGTTCCTTTCTAATTTTTTTATTTTCAGCCTTTGGGTCTTCTCAGGAAAGGCCCTTAGGTGTGTACTGTAAATGACCTTGTGTATGAATTAGTGTACAGTGTACAGTTTGTGTCATGTAAGAGTCCCTCATATTGGACTCAGGAGCCTGGGGGAGCATTAATCCCCTCTAGCCTGGCACTTAGACTAATCCTTGCAGGTTATATTAGTTATATAAAATGGAATAATATAAACTGTTGGATAATTTAATAATTAGCTAAAAGAAAAGAGAAGAGGAAATATTTTAGATGAAAACGAATTTCCAGAAATGAGAGTAGTAATATAGATATATTACACACCATTGTAACGCTAAAGATGTTAGAAAAAACAGTATCTAATTTTTTAATGAAAAGTAATTTACAATTATATTATAGGATATGCGATTGGAAATTCCATTTTTGTGAACTCCAAAATTTTCTTTTTTAATTGCTTTATCTTTCTTAGTTCCAAATATTCTAGGAAATTTTGTAAATGTGTGTGTGTGTAAACAGTCTAGCTCTTGTTTATTTACAATTTTTATTTTAAGCACTAACTTAATTTATTTTAACATGAGTTTATATATATCATTGATTAATTACAAAAAGTCATTAAGTACATTTTAGATGGAGCTAAATTATTAAAATCATTTGTGAATTTTGATCAAATTCACAGATGTAAAAATGAATCGTCCGTATGACTTGTGTTATCAGGGACATGGGATCCTGTTTCAAAGGATTGACAAGAATGAGATGCTGGTGATGCACTCTCTTGACTTGACTTGATTTTCAAGTCAAGAACTAAAAAGATTCATACAATAGTGTAAGGATTGTCAGGAATAATTCTCACAGTTAGTGATATACCGATAATGACGGTTTCCTGTTAAAACAAGGTTCAGGTGCAGGCTTTTGAAGAATTGATAAACACTTCTTGAATCTGGGATTAACTGAGGTGAGGCACTTACCTGCAGGCTCTGTGATCTGGAGGATGAAACCTGCCTACCACATTACATGTAGATGTGAGGTATTGGCTAGAATGTGTTATTTCTATTTTGGTTGTGAATGCTTTATTGGTTTTAAGCTACATGAAATTGATTTATCCTACTAGCATATAAAAGTTTGCAAAGGCTGGCCTGTTTTAACAGAGAATAGGATGTCACACAATAAGCCTCAAGTTCATCAATGCCAGAATAAAAAAAATAAGAAGTATGTTGGGGTTGCAGAATTCAATCAGTTCAAGCAAACTATTTATAACTATTTTGCATGAACCAATTGTTTACCAAGTATACAATATTTTAGTAGTTATTGTCTGATATCTTCAAAAATTTAAAATTTTGTATTTTCAATTATCTTAAAGTGTACATCTAAACAGAAAATTATTATAGCTGCAAATGGTAAAATCCAAAATTATTCTTATTTGATTTTCCTATCAAATTTTCTTTGCTTAAATATTTTTATTTTGTTATTTATTTTTTTAATATATCTCGATTAATATAATTAATATTTTGGTAAATAAATGCATTTACCAATCATCATATAAAGCTTTAAGATTAAAAACATACTTTCTGTTTTTCATCTTCTGATCGTGCATCCATTCTGACATTTGCCCAAGGAAGCTCTTTAGGCCACCAAGGTGGTCTTGTACTTTCTCTACCCCATCCAGGTTTGCCACGTCCTATATTTTTATAAATTAGAATATCAAAATCTAAGGAAAAAGTAAAATTTTTAAAATAAATATGTGACCTGTAATGTTGTAAAGGTACTTTGTAGAAAATTCATGTTATCAAAATTAAGTGGATTACATGATATAATAATATTTAACATGAGTCAGTCTAGTTTTTAACAAGTCACATTTTCACAAATAACAATATGGTAGAGAGAGGGAGAAATCTAAACTTTGTAAATATAAGTGTTATAACTATAAAATAATTACACTTTTTTCTATATACATTATAACTATATACTAATTTACATACTTCAATCATAAATGATATGTATAAATTGTTTTATTAGTTTATAGTCTTTACCTTTCTTCATTAATTATTTTCATGTCACTTCTTCCGCTTAGGTGTAATTTAATAAATTATTATTATTTTTATTTGGAGGTTTTGGGGATACTTTATCCCCCTCCTCAACATATAATTTCTCCCAGTATTGGATCAGTCTTAGAACAAACTTGGTCAATGGTCAAACACTCTTTCAACTAAAATCTTAACTTAAACGTTTTTAGTTGAAAGTGTTTGATCAGTGGCCGAGCTTGTTCTAGGCAAATTATATGTTGAGGAGGAGGATAAAGTATCACCAAAATGTCCAAATAAAAACTAAACTAAAGTAAGAGTGTTTATTTGTTAAATTAGGCCTACATAAAAAAAATGAGGAGAAAATAAACACATCAATTGTTTATAAGAAAGGAAGGAAGAGAATATAAAAGTTAAGTTAAACTGAACTTGTAAAAATTATTTCAGTAGATGAATAAACTTCAACTTTTTGCACTGATGATCATAAGAACATAAAATGGCAAGTATAAGTTTAGGCTTGTTTAAAGCCAAACATGCTTTCACTTACGAATACACTCAAACACAAAACAAGAATTAAATTAAAGATTGTTATAAATATAGAAGGGGAGCGGGGTAGCTCAGTGGGTGAGCACTGACTTCCAGAGCTCAAGGTCCCCTCCTGGGGCACATCCATCCTCAATAAAGTGGGTAGCCTTAATTAAAAAAATAATTAAGGGGAAAAACCTGGCGGTTGAGCGTGATATTGGCCCCTCACATCCCTGCACAACCGTGGACCTTGTAACAGTACTTTCTCACATAGTACTGCACCCAAAACCCTTCCTCCTTCATGGGTTGTAGTGATACAGGTTTTTTTTTTTTTTTTTTTTTTTTTTTATAAATGTAGAAACTGGATAAAAATAATTTTTTTATTTAGAAATATAATAATCTGCCATGTGGACAATAATTATAGTGAGATATGAACACAGATAAAATTAAGAATAAAGTGAATACCAGCATTAAATATAAAGATATTTAATTTCAATACTTATTTCTAGTTCAATTAAAAATAAATACATACCAGTTGAATATTTCAACATTAATGGAATAAAAGCTCGCAATTGAGCTTGTGTCATTTTTTCAACTGGAGTAGGAATTCCATCTATAATGAGAGGGGGGAGTTCATAAAGTAAAGGATCATCCTGAATTGGTGGCGGGGCTTGTTGAGCTAAAGCAGACTCAAGCTCATCCATTATCATGAGTCTCAGATTTTTAACCTGACAATAATTTCATATCTTTAAAATGCACTAATGACAGTAATAATTATTTTAAAAATATTAATAAAATAACAAACTCTAGTAATACATACAACATCTTCTAATGGTTTGGCTCCAAAGCATTTAAAACTAGTTGTAGGTTTTCCTGGAGTTGCGACAAGTACAACTGCTTGCTGTCCAACACGTGTAGCAAACTCATCAATTGTTTGCTAGAAAAAAAAAAATTATTTATTATTTTTTCACTGTATTTATTTAAAGTTAATTTTTTTAAAATGAAAATAATATTAACAGTAAAAACAGCAAAAATAGAGGATATATTAGATGGGTTTGCAAATATCACTTCATGCAGCATTGAAAATATATCCAGACTGTAATAAAAAAAAAGAAGAAAAGATTTTGGCTGCATGACATTGATTATTGTCCTGATGATGATCACTTAATGAAGCATGGGTCCAAAGAGAGTACTTTACAGTGAGTTTTTGAGCACCCTCAGGCTCCTACTATGATAAGCATTACACAGGCCTACAATATTTTTGTTTTTTGGTGGCCGAGGGTTATAGAACTGATTTTAGAGGGATTATGGTCACTGAATATAAATATGAAATAACGAGAATGATTAATAATCAGGATATACAGTCATTTATGTTGTTTATTAGTTTTACTGATATTTCAAAGAAAGTATGTGGGTCATCATTACAGTTAAAATTAAAAAAAAATAATTACATTAGAAAAATAAGGTATAGTTTATGTTTATATTACCGTCATGTCATGTGTACTTTCCATCTTTTATCTTTCTTATATACACCCTTCTATCTATATCTCATTTTTCTAATTTAAGTTTGCATATCTTTTAAATATTGTAGCCCAGATGATGAACCTCATGCTTGGATCGAAACCTTGGCAAACCTAATAAGCATAAACGACTGCATATCCTGATTATTTTTCATCCATATAATTTTAACAATCAATTATATCTCCATCTCTAAATATGGAATCAGTTTTACTCTATCACCTCTACTTTTTTAGATACAACTGTTTATCTATCAATCATTATTTAATACATTGAAGTATAGGTGATTTAATTCTATTTATTAACTATCTGCCGTCCAGTTAGTTCCAGGAAAACCTGTTAAATAGAAATAATCATTCACTGTCATTGACTTTCAACATTTTAACCAGCATTGAGGTAAGTTTGGGATTTCTAGTCCAGGAGAAATTGAAGTAGGCCTCACATTATATTTCTGTACATGAAAGAGTTGTTATAAAGTTAATCTAAAGTATTGATCAATCTAAAGTAAGAGTTTTTATAAAGTATTGATATAGTAGATTGTTGTCTTTGTGTTTTATAACAGAAATAAAATGAGTTCTGTTGATCATACCTTTTTTCTTCAAAGTTTATGATATCTTTTTTCTTCAAAGTTTAAGAGGTAAATGGAGGTCATGGTAACAGAGAGGGGCAAATGCTACTCTGAGTACTGAGTACCAAGTATTTTACCTTTGATCTTCATTTTTTCCTTCTCTCTTCTACTTTCAGTTCCATACATAACTTTGTTAATCTTCTAGGCGCCATTCTTTTAATATGTCCAAACCAGTTATAATCTGTTATTTTTAATATTTGCTATAATGTTTCTTTCCACCTCCATCATTTCCAGAATTCTTTCATTTTTTATTGTTTCACTTCTGGATTGCTTTGCTGCCCTTCTCCAAAAGTTCATCACTACTGCTAACAGTCTTTTCCGGTATATGCTTTGATGGCCCATGTTTTTGAGGTATGTGTCATTATTGGCCTGAATATAGCCTTGTATATTAGCCTCTTTGTCTATCTATCTATCAGATGGTGCTACAACCTCTATCTATGAGCCTCTGCCATTCGGCTCGGTTTTGGAAGGATGGCTTCTAATTTCGGACTCCAAGCAGGTCTCGTGGGTCTTGTATCACGCCATCCATCCATTGAAGCTTGGGCCGACCGACTCTTCTTATACAGTTAATTTCTTCTTCCATGACTCTTTTAGGTATTTCTCCAGGACTCATCCATGCGACATGCCCTGCCCACCCAAGGCATCCCAGCCTAATAAAGGTCACAACATCTATATCCTGGAGCAGCTCATAGAGTTCCTTATTTCTTCTTCTTCTCCATCCTTCCTCATCCCTTAGTGGCCCATAGATTCTTCAAAGGATCTTCCTCTTGAAGACCAGGAGATTATTTCTATCCTGTGTGGATAGTGTCCATGTCAGGGAGGCGTATGTTAGGACAGGTCTGTTCAGTGTTTTATATAAATGGACCTTATTTTCCTGATAATAAGCTTGCTCCAGAGCTGTTTCAATAGACCAAAATAGCATAGGTTTTGTGATCCTTCACTTTATTTCAATGGAAACATTATTTGTTGCTGTGACCTGAGATCCAAGATAAATAAACTGCTCCATCCTCTCAAAGGTACAGCTTCCTATGACAACCTGTCTTTCTTGAGATCTGGCTCCTTCGGTGTATATATATTTTGTTTTGTTTTCACTAATAGCCAGTCCCATACATGGGACAGCTCTCTGTAGGCTTAAGAAACACTCAGTAAGCACAGTAGAGGAATGCGCCAATATATCAAGGTCATCCGCATAACCGAGCAGTAGGACCGATTTATTGAATATGGTGCCATTATTCTGGATACCTGTTTCTCTCACTACTTTTTCCAACACCAAATTAAACAGGAGGCAAACATCTTCTTGCCTTAGTCCTTCGTTTGAACCAAATTCAGAAGAGTGTTTGGACTGTATGTGGACCCTGTATCTAACATCTCTCATTGTCATTTTTATAAGGCGTATTAGCTTTGAAGGAACCTTCATTTCTGTTAGTGCTTCATATAACATAGGATGCTTGATACTGTAATGCGTGTTCCTGAAATCCACGAACAAGTGGTGGGGGTAAACATCTTATGTTTATGGGCCTTTCCATGATTAATCTAAGGATATGAATTTGGTCCACTATAGATTTCCCTCTCCTGAAGCCAGTCTGGTACTGTCCAATTTCTCGTTCTGCATGCAGGATCAGCCTTTGGTATATGATATTTGAGAAGACTTTGTAAGCACAGAGGAGCAGCGATATTCCTCTGTAATTAGCACATTCTAATTGTTCTCCTTTCTTGTGAAGTGAACATATCAATGCATTACTCCATTGATGAGGCATCTATTCTTGAACCCATATCCCGAGGATCAGGTTATAAAGTGTCCTGTGCAGTTTCTCTCCACCATATTGAAACAATTCTACCAGTAATCTGTCCTCACCTGGTGCCTTATGGTTCCTCATTTTCTGGATTGCATCTACAGCCTCTTCCAAATCTGGTGGCTCAACATCTTCTTCATTTCCTTCTCTCACTCCGGGCTCAGTAACCTGTTCGTTCTGCAGGCCATTAAAGTGCTTTACCCACCACTGAAGTATCTCGTCTTTACTGTTTGAGAGAGTCCCATCTTCTTTTTTGCACGCTTAAATTTTATGTTTAAAAAGGGCTCTACCATTGTTTACCTTCTGATAGAAGAGCCTGTTTTCATTCGCACTCTTGTGAGCTTCTATTTCTTTCAATGCCTCTATTTCCCATAGTTTCTTCTTCTCCTTATGCACTTTCTTCCCATCTCTCCTCCTTTTGCGGTATTACTCTGTGAATTGTGCTTGTGAACTGTTTCTGCACAATAGCTTGGTAGGCAATGTTCTTCGCATCTGCTACGCTTCGGTATTTTTCATCAAACCAAGGTGACCTTGTTTCACGTTCCTTTAGGCCTAAGCATTCATTTGCAGTTCTTGTAATTGCCAGCTCCACATTGTCCTATAGTGCCTGAGGGTCTTCATTAATGATATCACCAAGTGTCTCATGCAGTGTTATACCTATATCAGCTTAGAAAGAGTTGCATACATCAGGATCTTGCAACTTCTGGACATTCTATTTCTTAGTCTTTCCTTGTTTTTTATAGCTCGCCTATAAGTTAGTCATTAGTGATTAGTAATTAGTGATTCTTGCCCTGATTCGTACTATCACTAGGTAGTGGTCAGAATCAATGTTGGCTCCTCTAAAGATTCTTACGCTCAATAAGTTGGATCTATGGTGTGCATTTATTAGGAGATGGTCAATTTGGTTGAAGGTGTTGAGGTCTGGGGATCTCCATGTTGCTTTGTGTATCCTGCGGCCACGATAGAGTATGACACCTGGGAAAATCCCGTATAGCCTTAATGGCGAGGAAGGGAAGGACAGAAAAAAAAGAAAAAAAAAAGGTTCTCTGACCATTTTCGTTACATTCCTTATAGATGCTATGTGGCCCAATCGTTGGATAGTAAATGTTTTCTCGGCCAATCTTTGCGTTGAAGTCCCTCACCAGTATTTTGATGTCACTTTTTGGGCAATTATCATGTGCCGCTTCCAAAGCATCATAAAACCCCTCCTTGTCCTCTTCATTTGAGGTTTCTGTTGGGCCATGGCAACTGATTATGGAGTAGTTGTAGAAGGTTCCCTTGATCCTTATAGTGCATATGCGTTCATTTATAGGGTTGAATCCAATGACATTCTGCCACATTTGCCCTTTCACAATGAAGCCGGTTCCGAAACTATGGTTTTTCGGATGGTGGCTGTAGTAAATTGTATGAATTCTTTCTATATATGGACACACAATTGTAATGGTTTATTAATAACAATGAGCGTTTTGGGATAGTATTATTGGTGTCTTGCATTTATATGATTATAGGACAAAGGATTCTTTTTTAAACAACCGCCCACCCTGAGTATCCGGAGGCTGTCTAAAAATGGAGATAACGAATGTGATAATGCTCTCATTATTAATTTAAGAATAGATAATTTCCTTAAGTAGTGCCATACGTGTTTTAGAAATAAATAGATGTTCTTCTGTATGTCCGGCTTGCATCAAAGTTATACATTTTGGTTTTTACTTGTAGAAAATTGATTTAAAAATTTCTAAAATTGGACTTGAAATGCTATAATGCCTATCCTTATTATTCATAATAGGTACTACATTTAAGGAATTTAATAAGAAAACAAAAATACCCTATCCATTTGGTGTTATCAAAATTGATTTGGAAAAATCTTAATTTGAAATGGAAAATTCTAAATTTGATTTGGAAATTTCTAAATTTGACTTGGAAATACTATTTAATTGATGTCCTCTCTATCCAGGGCAACATTGAGTAACTATAAATTTAAATAAAAAAATATAAATGCATTTAAATTGAATAGTAAAGTAATTGCTGCAATAAAAAAACTAACAAACAAATGTTTAAAACAAATCTGTTTTCATCTTTGTTGGGTATCATAAAACATAAACCTCCTAATAAAACATAATTTTTTTAAAAAATAAATGAATGAATATATATTTATTTATTAATAAATATTATCTTACTCTTAATTTCCTAAGAAGCCTATTTTGTTGTCTTTTTCTGATTGAGGGATTAGTTTCAAAGGAATGTGGGCGTTTTCTTTTCTTTGCTGATACTATAGCAGCGGCCGCAGCCATACCAACTGGTCCTAAAAGTATTAATCAAAGATTAATTTTAAGTTTCAAAATATTAATTATAAAAAGAAAAGTGAAATCTGTTGTCCAGATTTACATATATTTATACCATAGATATATAAATACAAATAAACACAGATTAGAGAAAGAAGGATATCTATTGACAATTCAAATTTTTTATTTGAAATTTGAATCAGTGGCCACCAATGATAGGGCCCTACTTGGAAGGTTTGTGGATTATATACCCACAGCCCGCCTTGGCTACACTGAATGTGTCTACAACAAGGAAAAGTGGCTGATGGAAAATTGCTGGCTGATATTCTTAAACTTTTGATGATGAGTCATTTGTAGTGATGCTCTGGCAAAGGACAGTGATTGTATCTGTCTACCAGGGAACTTGGGAATGATTTATTGGGTGGATCCATAAATTCGTTTGGTTTCTGAAGGGTGAAATAAAACAATTTTTTTCATACAAAGAATAAATTTTATTCAATAATGTATTCACCGTTATTATGGATGACCTTTTGCCATCTTTCTCACTGTTTCCTTATTCTTCGCTTGTAAAACATCTGGGACTTAGAAACGAAAAACTAATCGAGATACATTTCAACATCTCTCTCATCAGTGCATGATTTCCAGTTAAGGGAGTTTTTGAGGGACTGAAATAAGAGGTAGTTGGATGTTGCAAGTTCTGGTGAATACAGTGGGTGTAATAAAACATCCCAGCCAAGTTGTACTAACTTTTGCTGTGTGATTATTGTGGAGTATGGTCTGGCATTGTCATGGTCAAATACAACAAGTTTGCGTTTGAATAGTTCTGGACATTTCTGTCCCAATGCTTGATCCAATTTTGTTAGCTGCATGCAGTAGTTTTTTTAATCAATCGTTTTTCCTTGTGGAAGCAACTCGTAAAACAGCATGCCTCGATAATATGGATATGGAGAGAAAAATCTTTTTCGGCTGTAGGCCGGTCTTTGAAGTGGCATTAGGAAGCTCGTCAGCAGTTATCCACGATCTCCTACGCACTACTATATTGTCGTAGATGATCCACTTTTTGTCACCTGTCATTATTCATTTGAGAAATGGATCACTTTCATGCCAGTTCAGAAGAGAGTTACAGTCAGTCAGTTTGTGTGGCACCCAAACATCAAGGTGGGACATGTAGCCAAGTTGTTTTAAATACCTTTGAACAGTTCCAAAACCTATTTTCAGTGTCTCCACAATTTCTCATGCCTGAAGCGTCCAGCCTTGTTCGATTAGAGCCTTGATATCAACCTTGGTGGACCGACCGCTACAGGGTGCATCTTCAAGACTCGTATCTCCAGAACGAAACTTGGCAAACCATTTTTGAGCGGTACGTTCTGTTAAGGCATCGTCCCCATATACCTTACATATTTTTTGGTGGGCCTCTGTAGCTCGCTTGCTTTTTTTGAAATAAAAAAGCAAAATAAGCCAAAATGTACTTTATCATTTGACATATTCACTATGCAATAGCACTAACAAAACTAATGCCAATGAAACCAAACACAACAGTTTCGAAGAGCAGACTTTTACCTTTCTGATAAGTACCATTGTTGTCAGACAAGGAAAAGATAACTGGAGATATTTGAAAACAATTCGCACTACTTACAAAATCTGAACAAACTTATGAATCCACCCAATATATGATGTTTTGAAAAAGTTAAGCCACATCACACACTCTAGAAATAAAAGAGGTTAGTATAAGCAATTTTTACTTTGCTGAACAATTACACATATCTCTTTCATTTCTAGGGAGTGTGACACAGATTTAACTTATTCAAACCTGATAAAAATCATTCCCCAGTTTACTGGCAGACAGCTACAAACCCTCATCTTTGTCTGTGTTTTCATCTTGAAAAGAGATGTCCCAAGAGAGGCATCAACCAAAGCTTTGCATGCTTAAGGAAGAGTTCAAGATTCCTAGAAGAAACCTCCATAGAGCCATCAAGAAAGGGAAATGATGTTGCTGGAATTAAATGATGAGGTTTATGCAGCCCCATGGGACAGGCTCTATAAAACAGCAATAAAGTAACGGAGGAAAGATTCATTGCAGCTCCCCATGCCATCAGATATTGAGGATAATATCATCAGAATACTATTTCAGGAACAAACAACAACTGTCAAATGTATGAATATCTCTAACATATGATTTTTGACTCATCACAGTGGAAGAACTGGCATATATAGCAACAGACCTAAAATATGATAAGGTAACTAGATTGGATGTCATTCCAAATGTAGCTCTTTAAGGTTCACCAACCTTATGAGGGTTATCACAGACTATTTCAATGATAAGGTTATGTTTTATGCTTCAGATGTTAGACCAAGGAAGTATCAGACCTCTTCTGTGGAATGTCATTGGTGACAGGATAGTAAGGCTATCACTATCTGAGGGAGCTTTACTTGTTGGCATTAAAACAATATTGGGTACTTGTTACTTGTTGTGTACAGCGGGTTCTATGGACTGCTATCTGATGTTATCTTGTTATTTAAAGTGTTGTTGTTGTTATTTATATTTCTTATTATTAAATTACTATATTATTATTATATTTATATTTCTTATTAATATATATATGTATGTATATGTATATAATTATATAATTATATAATTATATAATTATATATATATATATATATATATATATATATATATATATATATATATTAATAAGAAACAGGCAAAAAATAGGCAACACCAAATATATTTATATTTCTTATTATATGAGAATCTAATTTCATATAAAGATAGGGATTATCAGTGTTTAGGTTATAAACATTGGCAGATAGGGATTATTAGTGTCTTACCACAATTATCAGTGTTCAAGTTATAAACATTTGAAGACAACAGTTCATAGAGCTCGTGTCGCTCACAAGTACCCAATATTGCAGTGGTGGAAATTGTAAAGTCATATTTTGCCAGGTAAACTGCCAACTAACACTAAAAACTAGAAAAAATGTAAATCAAAAAATCATTTGAACAACAGCAGTTTCTAAAGGTTACATTTATGTCAAAAATTGGAAAAAAAAAAGGTTTAGGGGAAGTAACCACCTTTCAACATAGAGTTGCACAGCAGAAATTGAAAGATTCGACTTAATCAAGAACTTGGAACTGATTTTTTCAAAACTCACACTCCATCTTTAAGGAACTCTGGTGGATAATTTGTGAAACATCAGTGTTTATATTTCATGCTCCATAAAAGGCATCTCATATCAGTTTAGGTTATATATCACATGAATATTATGCATTTACTCCACATTACCTAATAGGTATTGCTAATAAGTGTGATGGTTTAAGAATCTTGTTTTTATTTTAAAAATTAGATGTAAGGGCATGATGCTTATTTCTTGGATGGTCAAATGATAATTGTAGATATGAAATTCTAAATAAATTACTTTATAATTTTTACCAAACAGAGATAAAGAGATGCTGACATTTTGACACGAATATGTGTCAAGATGAAAGAGATGTAGAAATTTCTATTAATTAAACCTCAAAATGCGGATGAGTTCTTGTGTGTTTCTAAGCTTATATGTGGTACTTTACAGCGAAGAATATTAGGTGACTTATTTTGTTACTCAGAAGAAATAACAGATCTGGATATCAAGTATTAATATACCTAAACAAAGAAAGCCTAAAACAAATTTAGGGATGAGAAAGACAAAGAATCAGGATTGGCAGTATTTAAATGGCTTATTAGGCTTGCCGACGGTTTGATATGGGTTATCATTAGGATTGAAATTTAATAATTACTTCAGTAAGCTAAAAAAAAATTATTTTATAAATAAATAAAACAATAAGTATATACAAAGTAAAAATAAATAAATATGAAGTATTAAAATAACAACAGGGCTAATAATAACTATGGTGATTTTTTAAAAATTAAAAATATAATTAGAACATAATATGCAAGTTAAATGTTAAGATTTAGTGTCAAAAATAAAATAAAATAAAAAAACACCTCAGTTGTGCTTATCTCTGTTTTTTTTTTTTGTTTTTTGCATAGTTCATAGACAAAAATGTACTTATTTTATTATTTATTTATAAAACAAAACTTTTTCTATATATATTATTTATATTTGTATTATTATTTGTACTATTGTCGAAATTGCTGTCAACATTTAGTATTATGCCAAATACAGATAGTTGTGAATGGTTCACAGAAATGTTTTCCATATAGTTTTAGAAATAATTGTTTCCCTAGGATAGAACTAGAAAGTTCCCAGTGAAAGGACATTTGCATGCTTACTTTCTCTGCTAATTACTGATCTTAGACCATCATAAATATATTGTAAATTATTCTTGTAGCCTCACTCAATTATTTAACTTTAATTAATTTAACATAAGTCTAAAGGTCCTCTGTGAGAAACTGCTCTTTGGAAGTGACCTTTAGCAATTATATGAAACTAGAGCAAGTTCAACGTAGACCTAAGTCAAAAAGTTAACTCCCATAAATAAAGAATATTTTATTTTAAGTGTTTTCTATTGAATTAACCTCAAAAATTAACTATAGGATTGCGAAGGGCCCTTAACTCTTCACCTTGGTGACAGTAGTTTTATATTGTCATTGGATTTTTACCTGTGTTTGGCTGACCTAACATGACACTGTTATGTATATTTTGCCGTTATGTCACGAGCACTTTCCATCTTTTGTCTTCTCTTATTTACATACTTCAATACATTTTTCTGATGTCATTATATTTTTTTTAATTTTAGTCCAGATGATGACCTTGACCCACATGCTTATATCAAAACATTGGCAAACCTAATAAACAACATAAATGACTGCATATTTTGATTTGTCTTCCTCGTAATTTTAACAGTCCACAATATCTCTCTCTATAAATATGAAATAGGGTTTTCTCTATCAGTTCTACTTCCCCCCCCCAAAATTTAGTGATAGATACATATTTGACTGTTAAAATTATGAGGATGGCAAATTATCAGGACTTGCTTAATACAGTTTATTAGGTTTGACAATGTTTTGACCAAAGC